TTTGTCACTATGAACTTGAAGAGACGTGCTCTTTTACAAGTGGAGGAGGGGAGGAGACTTGGGGCTAGTGAACTAAAATCAGGTAAGTGTTCACATATTATATGGTCTATAGGTTTAGCTCTACCCCCTTAAGCCGCAGATTGTGTTGGTACACAGATTGAGTCAGCAGGCTACTTGCTAATTATTTGATGGGACGGGAGCTGGAGTGTGTCCACTGGTGTGCGTAGTGCCGGTTGTCTTCTCTGACAGAGGAGAGGGTCGCAGGGACCAGAGTTACACAGTCTGCCAATGTATGGACTTCAACAAGGGAATTACTCCTCCACAACTACTGTTAGTTAGACCCTTTTTTGTAATAACGTTACAATAAAAATACTTTCCATAGGTACATGTCAAAGCTTGCAGAAGTACTACCCATACTGTGGCGGAAAAACCCAAAAGTATGTCACTGGTTATGGAATATAGCACAATGGCCGAGAGCTCGCTGGATTTTCAGTTTCAAAGGACTTTGTAGTCTCATAATTCGTGGGGCAACCCCACTAACACTCTGAGTAGTACTTTGACCTTGTGATCAAGAAAGTGATAGTGACACAGAGGGAGGATGTGGGGAATGAAAATAATTGTAGTTCTGAAGATGACCCACCAGTGGTTGAGTTCAGAATGGATGACAAGTCTGTAAGAAGTGAATTGTTATCGTTCAGATAGGTCAACAGTGATGAGTGTATTATTAAGCAACTCATCGTGATCCCGCCCGTGAGTCACTAGCTAAAGTGTTGTGTGTGTGGTAGTTCATTTACTCGTTTCAGGGTCCAAAGGATTCAGAAGAATTGAAGGCACAACTTTATGAGTGATGAACGATTAGGAATTGGCGTTGCATTCACAGTAAGAACAATCATGCAATATCTGACTTGATAAGTTGGTATATATTTGCTGTAGCCACAAGGCTTATTGTGTGTGTTCCAGAGAGCCAAGCGGTCATGAGTTTTCACCAGTGGCACTGAGCCTGGTCAGGAGACCCGTGGCATATCTGACACCCAGAGAGAGAGTCAAGGAGGACATTGAGGACGGAGTTGTGAGGAACAAAAAACTACACATCACAGTTACCATCGTGATTACCCGATTATGCCACATCACCTCGCGATGACTTTAGTGAGGGGTGGCCTAATTTACATTCACTGTTTCGTCATTAAAAGAGTGTACTTTTCAGTTTCTTCTATGAGGACGATTGTCTCATCCTTCTATGACATTTTGATCATACACATATAGGTCCTAAACATTCAACCCACTGCCACTAACCCCACTGCCCTAACCCACTGCCATTATACCCCATGCGGATACCATCAGTCATGCCAACAGGGATTGATCATTTGGAGCCCAAGGCGGGAGACTATTCACCAGTAGTGATAGGAAACAGGAAGAGGCTCCTGGCGCAGTCTGTGTGTTGATTTGCATTTTGGTGTGGGTGTCTCGTTACCTTCGAGCCCGGACCAAAGGAGAAGGCAAGGTTAGATATATTAAGGAGTTCAGGTTTTTTCATGTGTGCTGCTATTTTGAAGGCTGCACGAATCGAAGTGAGGAACCCCAATCTCGAGACTGCAAGCAACGAGTGTATGAGGAGCTGCCAGGACCTCCTAGAGACAAGCAAAACGAGGGAGCCACATACTGCGAGTCGCGTCCACCCCTACCCTCTGCCAGGTACGATCACTCCCCAGCTTCCGCCAAACTCCAAGACACAAAGGAGATGGGGTCAATGGTGTCTCATCACCAACCTCCAGCAAAATGATTTCCAGTGAGAATAGAAGGAGAATAGATGGCCTCACATCTTCTCTTCCTTGTGCCTATCAGTCGGTCATCTGAGGAATGCTTACACTGTCATAACCCGCTGGGGACGGTGACAGTCATGCTCGCTCCCGAGTAGTGGTAGGGACACCCAGTGGGGGCCTAACAGCGGGGAGTGAAGATGGTTGTGTTTGCTTTCACCCTTTGTTGAACACTTGGGACCTTTTCCACGAAACTCTGAAAGAGAATGAGGATTGTTTTTAAATAGATTTATTGATGCCGGCAGTAATGTTTATGTTTTAGGACAAGTCATTGGTTGGTCCCTGGGCGTTGGAGTGTTTATAAAACAGAGAATGCCACAGTAGTTTTTTTTCCGCAATCAGTACTCATGACTACGTACGTCATAATTTGTGAGCGCTCGTGACCGTCTTTGCACATGCGCCCGCGCGTGGGCTGAGGGGTGTGAGCTTCAGCCAAGTTTATGTCCAAAGACTTATGAGATAGCATTGCATAGATATTAGTACACCATCTATAACCGAGAACATTCTAAAAAGAGTCGATTCTTTCGTTGCAGGATAGAGTGTGATTGTATCCATTCAGTGGTGTGATGGAGCGCCGTTATCTGCACACGCACCTGCTGCAGAGCAGAGACACGAGCGTCCACACGTACGACGCACGCTGTGTCACCAATATACGATACAGACACCCTCAGGAGTGTGAGTTGGCAGATAAACATTAGTTCGTCGCGCGGATCTAAGGATGCACTATGCCGTGATTACCATATTGCGGGCCGCAATGCGGCTAAACACAGACCGGATTTGTATCTCATACCAAGTACGTGGGGCACACCTACTCCCAAGTAATGCTGGCAGTTCAGTGTGTGTGGTAGCTGGCAGGGGCTAAATAATTAATAAAAAAAAAAAAACAAGAAAAAAAAAAAAAACCCAGGAATAAAAAAAATAGATTAAAGGACTAACACCCCCCACCCCCCCACACGCCAAGCCCCCCCCTCCCCCCCCCTCCCCCCCCCATACTGGCGCCCCCCCCCACCCCCCTCCCTCCCCCCACCCCCAATCTAGCACAGCTATTACGATGGACAGGGAGCAGAAGACTAGTCACGATATCCGTAGTCTACTTAGTGATAACTTGGGACGTCTTTGGCATCTGGACCTCATCCTGTTGCAATAAGAGAGAGGGAGAGAAGGCAAGTAAAAGGGGACTAATCATGTGATACAGTGTGAGGCACGATGGCATCATAAGTAATCAGGTCTCGCTGATCTTCCGCAATATCAGTGGTTTGCTGTAAAACGCAAGAGAGACGATTTATCTAAAGAGTCATCGCTGACAGAGACATCCAGGAACATTCTGATGGTGAGGTGTTTTCTGTGACTGTTCTTGTTGAGGTGACGTCTCTCGCTCCTGACTGACAGTGGACACACTGATCTCTGATGGTCGTGACTGGGGACAGGGGAGGTGTGAGGGAGAGACGGGGATCTCAATCAGGACTCAGAGAAAAAGTGTATGCAGTCGTCACAGTCTGTGACGCGGAGCCCAGAACTATAATAGCACTCCTAACACAAGCAGCCACGGAATTAAATTGCGGAAGCACAATGTCAGCCAATGCTGCTGGAGTGTGCCACACTAGCTTACGGTGCATGGGTGCAGCTCATGCACAAACCTCAATGCATCATGACCATGAATGATGTAAATTACTTCAACCGGTGGCCGAATTCAGTGTGCACAGACAGAGTGCCAGTAGTTGTCAGACGATCATCACATGCAGCAACTCGTATCAGTCACATTGTATTACGGATAAGGAGCGTAATGTACAACAATGATGAGGACATCTATCACTATGTGGCCCTCGTGAGGCCCACTACCCATATCTTTCCCTATGAGGCAGATGAACAGTAGGAGTGAAGGATGCCGCATTTCGGACCAATCACTATGCCAAATTCGTTGTCCAGTGGAACAGACAGGAAGTTTTGCCACGATCACTTACCTCGACCAGCGGGTCCACAAACTAGTGTTGGCAACATCTCAGAGAGAGAGTGTGTGTGTGTTTTTTAACTGAAGATGAAGGAATGCTTTGTACAGCAGCCAACTCTCTAAGACCTCTGAGATTCAGTACTTTTCCACCCAGTTTTAGTTCCTGGAAATGTCTATTTGCTGGAGCATACTAAGAAAGGTAATGCCACCGTCCCAGTAGAGAAAAGAGGTTGTATACATGCCAGGTTAAGCAGGTGTGACTAATGGTCACCAGCTGAGCCAGTACACACTAGCTACGCTCCATTGACTGCAATACCTCTACCTCAGCTATCCTAATAGGTAGTGGTAGAAGACCAACTCCACCTCATGGGTCCCAGCATACACAGTGTGTGTGAGAGAGGAATTGGCCCACCCGTCACATGATGTAGCGTACATCTGAGCCCCCAACACCCGGGACCACATGAAAGACTCTGACTCAAAACCCGACACTCCTTACTAATGGAGGGAATGCAGCCACACCAGTACTCTACCAGTACTCTACCAGACAATCAGGAAAAACTAGTGACGACTTACTAGTAACAATCTCCAGGAAACAGTACTGGAGGGAAGCTAGCTGGCAGACACCACAGTGGGGCTACTGTTGGTGAATGTGGTTTCTACCCTTATCCTAGATACCAAAAATTCTGCATCAAGTGGCCTAAAATATATTTTTGCCAGAAGTGCAGAGATAGAGTAGAACCAATGTGGTATATAAGTGTAGATTCAGAAACTACTGCATGTGTGGAGACTCACCAACTACAGGACTAGGTGAGGGGCAAGCTGTTGACACCTCTTTTTCCGATGGTGGTGGAGAGGGAGAGGAAGGAGGAGATGGAGATGGGGTAGGAACGTCACTCTCAACTAAGAGAGAACAAAAAAACGGGTGTTGACTCAGCTGTAATAACTGGAGTGAGTAACATACAAATTTTGGGGAGTAGGGAGTAGGCATTAACCCAGCAATGCACTGCTTACCTGACCAGTTCCCTGCGTCCACTAATTAGGCAAACGAGTGATGCAATGTAGCTGACACAAATGTAGACTTTTAGCAGGCTGAACAATAGCATATGCCTGCTTCATCGTGCACACATTTCAAATACCATTGTGCTTCATCAGGCTCTGCATGCAAATTGCTCGCTAGTGCAAGAGGTGGACAACACATTGTGTGTTCTAAAGTTGCCCAGACCCAAGGACAGTGAACACATTAATCAGACAAACGGCTCAGCCACACCCCCCACAGGATCTATTGACAGACTGCTCTAAGAACAAAAGAAGCCTTTGAAAGATGCTGTTGTACCCAAGTTGCATAGGTCAAACGGCATTTAGGGTCCAGCAAACTGCATTAGAGCTAGTCTATGTACACAAGAATGCTGTGGGGGTAGGTGGCTGGAGGATAGAGAAGAGATGCTGTGAAAGCTACTGGTTTACAGAGAGACCTGCGAGGGACCCAGTGGCGCCAACCAATGCAGAAGAGAATAATGCACTGCGCACCTAATTCTCAACCGATTTGGTACATATATATACACGTCACATAATTATGAATTTGTTGGTATGTGCATGTGTGGCATGCACACTGCCACTATTCATTCTCCCTTTACTAGATTCAAAGGTATCTCCTCCACATAATCCGATGCTCTGAATTACGCAATAACATCATGTGACCTGGCTAAATTTTAGTTCATGTGGAGAGATTGTTGCTGTTCTCCTAGAGATGTCCGCATGCTCTACGTTTCTTTGTAGTTCAAATTTTATGTATTTTATGAGAGCATCATTGACGGATTTTCAGACAACTCCACGTAAACAACAGTTAGTGATGCCAGGAAAAGTAATTACAAGGACCGTAGGAATGGAAGTCAGCCAATTAAACTGGCTTAGGCCATAATCCCACCTAACCCACCACAGCCTCCCCTTTCATCAAGTGGCAATCGATATGCATGTGTGTGGCAGAGTTGTCCCACTGGGACATGTGGAGGAGGTCCCCCTATCATTACAACACTTTCAATTAGCTCAAACATGGAAGACACTTTCCAAAACAAAAGGCTAATCAGATCCAAAATTGGGTAATCCCAGAGCACCGGGGAGCAGACATGACCCGTGGAAATTTTGGTGCACAACCGGACTGGACTTGTTGCAGGTCACATGACAGAATTACATACCACATAGTAACCAAGGTATGCCACTGAGGCACCAACCAACAGACACACACACACAAGATGTATGTACCTCTGAGGATTCTGAATCTGCTGTAGACGATGAAACCGCACGAGTCGTCCCCTGAATTACAGTCAATCATTGACGCTGAGCATTGGATGGGGACATTGTTCAACTCGGGAGTGGCTGTCAGTGTGAGAGTGTCGTTGTATCTCCCAGCAGAGGTACAGTCACTGTACGACCTCGAGTAGGTCAGCTCAGATAGGGTGTCGGTGTACGGGAGGGCAAAGGAATTGTGGAGATCTGCGACGTACCAGAATGCTTCATGGGTGCATGGAACTTCGCACATGAATACTGCCTCTTGACCATCTCTGACAGTTAGGTTCCGTTGGATTATCGTGATGGCAGTATTGGTGTTGGTGGCTGGAAGGAGAGAAAGATAAAGACACTCTCTGGGCCGCATCATTAGCAACTTGTTACTGGAGTGGGCAGGCTATCAATTAAAGGTGTAATTTGAGTGGTATTAGGTATACAGCTCAACCCACACATCACAACCATCTCAATTTCTTTTCAAGAGCTTTGTCTTTAGCATTAACAAACCCTTATTGCAAGAGCTGCAGTGGTATTTTGGGGGGCAAATGTGGTTGTCAACAGAGTCCTAGAAACTCTTGGAGTTCGAACCAACTCAGTTTATTCTGCTTCATTTTTCAGCAGGTGAAGCTAAGGCTACTTCAAACTCCCCTCTTTTCATAACAGTGTGTATGATATCTGTACAACTCACCTCCCGCGCAGAGAAGGCAGAGGATGGTAGACAGCAGAACGGCGCTGCATCGGCTCATGGTTGAGACGACAACTGCAGAGTTACACGATGACATGTACGTCGATGAGAAAACTTCTAGCTCCAGCAGCGCTCACTCACTTTATGCGTGTCGCTGCACTTTAGTTTTGCACAAATTATATCACGTCCCTCCCACTTGCAGCCATACGCATGCGCGCGAAACCCCACGTACGCGGAGCACGTGATGTCAACCGATAAGCGCATGCGCAGGCGAGTATAAGCTTTCGTCGGTGGACTACAAATCGCGACAGTTGTGAAGAAAGCACAATGCCGTCGGTAGCTGAAGAGCCTAGGTATGTTACAGGGTATGAATTTTCGCGTCGCAGCTGCAGCTCCCCTTGCTAGGACCTGCAGCAACTGGCTTCATCAGTTTCTCTTCTTTTCCCAGACCTCTGCAGAGGAAGATGCTGCACAGACCATGTCTATCTCGGACCGCCATCACGGTGTTTGTGATGCTGGTCACGATGGCAGTCCTCTGCCAGGGAGCTAAAGGAGGTAAGGAGGCTACATTCAACTCAAAACAGTATTTATTGTTGTTGCTCAAGCCATTACTTTGCTTCCATAATATTCTTGGACAGAGGTACGGATTAGACCAGAGAACCAGACTGTCGTGGTGGATGAGAAGGCAGTGTTCTTCTGCCAGGTCTTAGGAGAGAAAGGACAGATCTGGTTCAACAAAAATTCCATCACTGACAATCCTATAACATGGCCAGCAGATGTCCACCCAAGATTTGTACTATTGCCAGTAGAGCAGGACAATTTGGGTATCACTAATATCACTCTGACCGTAAATGCTTCAGTTCAACGCAACAACTCTGAGGTGATTTGCACTGATCAGCTCCTTGGTATGACCAGAGGGTCATACGCATACCTCACAATTCAAGGTGAGAGAGTCGTATTTATTGAGAAATACTGTGGCATCTCTGCAACATTGTCCTGTTCCAGGAGGACCAGGGGAGCCAGAGGTGGGGTATGAGGTTGACCGAGATGAGAAAGAGATTGTGCTGTCCTGGCCACACCCCTTCACCTGGGAGGACTACCCCCTCACTGGATATGATATTGTGTGCAGAGGGACTGAGTCAGAGAAGATTGTTCATGACATGACACTCAATGATACTGACATCCTAAATGAACCAGTTGTCAGTCACACTGTGGATCTACCTCCACATATCCCAGACTGCTACACTCTCCAGTGTACCGTGACAGCCTCTAATGCTCTAGACCAGAGCAACATTTCCATCACTGACATCTATTTCCCTAAGAGTAAGTGTTGTTCCTCAGTTTTCACCATGTTTTGCAGAAGATGCAATAATGCACCTCAGAGGAAGCCATCATGCATGTGAAGTGTGGGTTGGCTGAGCCAGCACTGCTTGGTCTGGTTGTGAGAACCTTACCCAGCACTACTGTGTTGATTATACCTTCCTTTAGTGTACGACCTCTGCTGTAGTAGAGTTGTTTATTGGACAGTGTGTTGTGTGGCTATGGGCATGAGTCTGGAGTAGTGTGATGAGTTGGCACATATTACGACAATCTGAATTGTTCAGTGCTTTTTTATATGGTCCGATATGATAACTAGACTCCTGTTGAACTTCACACATCTCCTTGGGACCTAACAACAGATAGCCTGCTCCCAGGTTGTTGCCCATGATTGTTAGGTGGTTAGACAAGTGCTAGCAAAATGGCTCTGTAACCTTTCACAAGTGTGAAAGACCAACGTGGAATGTTGCCACGCTTGATGCTTTGCCTAACCATTGAAAATGAGCCATTTTATGATGCTGCTTCACTGTTTACAGCCCACACTAAGGGCCTTCTGAGTACTTGCAAAAGATGATAGAAATTAACCATGAAATCTACACTCTTCATTTGTGTAGCTACCTTTCAAATCCCCACACAGAGCTTATGGAAGGTCGTACAAATCTCTCTGTGACATTAAGGCCACTTCGATTCACCTCCACTTCAAAGCCAGAAGCAGTATTCTGTGTGAAGGTAAAGCTCACTCAGCTGGTCAGCTGGCGCTTGTAGTAGATGTTTACATTGCTAAGTAGAGCTGGCATGTTGCACAATTAGCTGGGAGTGCTTTAGATGACCTGACTTGTGGTCTCTTCCTCCAGCTCCCAGTGTTGTGTGTGTTCCAGAGAGTGAGGTACAGAGTTGTCATCTCTCATGGAGGAGACACAGTCCTAGAGCTGACCAGAGAGTTCAACTACAGTGAGGATGACCCCAGTGATTGTATTGAGGAGATAGTAAGTGGAGAGCTGGAGGAGGGAACTGAGTACGAGGTCCAGGTGTTTCTCTATGCTGGAGAGAGTGGAAACTTCTCTACCAACAAGACAACCTTCAGTGAGCCTTCTTTAGTCTTGTGTCTCACAGCTTTCTCCTCAGTGGGTAAATGGTTAATATCTCATTGTGTCCAAGACACAACATGGTCTATATTAGTAGAGAGGATTATAACATTGTTGATAGAGTGCATGCATGGCCAGCTCTTTTTATAGTGCTAACATTGGCTACACAGTTAGCTCATTGCATGCATACCATTGCATTAGGCTGTGCATTGATGCTCTAATGAAAAGAACATGGTGCATGCGCAGACACGAGTTGCATGCGAGTTACCTAATTCCAGTGGTGGCAAAACAAAGGTACTAGTTTTACGTGAGCGTCATACACTATACCTCAGTACTTAAGTTATTTCGGTGGAGATGAAACTTCTCCACTGTGTAGAGCCAGTGCTGCAGCTGGGATTACAGAATGAGGACGAGGAGTTCTTTCAGACTCTGACTGGGAAGATTGTGGCTGTAGGGGTGGGAACCCTGCTCGTTATCATCATACTAATCCTCATCACCATCATATTCATTTCCTGCAAGAGAGGGAGACGGTTTAGACATGGTGAGTGTGAAAACAGAGAGACGCACATACTCAGTACACACACTTGTGTCTGTTTACATAGTGTTGACTTAATGCACCCAAAAGAGGTTTTTCTTAAAGGTGTCTCTAAACCAAGTCATTCTGTACAGTCCTTGTTGAAGAGATGCCAAAAACGTCCACCTGGGGCTAAGTTGCCGCTCACTCACAGAGCCAGACCTCTGTCTCCAGTGTAGTGTTTGCCTCAGAAAATAAATGGCTTGTTGTACTTCCTGCGCATGTGAAAGAATCCAAGCACTTCTTTATCCCATTTTCCTGTGATGCACACAATGCCCTTTATCCCCAAACTTCCTACTTCCTTTCTCCACTTAACAATACACACTTACTATTACATTCCTCGGTGACCGAGTCCATTGTACTCGGGAGAGTAAGCACGTGCCCAGGCATATGTCCAGGCACCACAGCATACATGAAGGAAATATGCATCTTTGGTAAACCTCAGCTCTGTTTTTCTCTCTCCCACTTAGTGGCCAGAGCACCTATCAAGAGAACTCCAACTTCAATGGTAGACAACCCAATCTACATCGGAGATTCCCACAGCCCATACTACGAGCAGGTGCCTCCTCTCCCCAAGAGACTCAACTCCACCTCGTCCCACACCGACCTCGACTCCCCCGGCCAGCGTATCCCCTCCCCCACACACTCTGCCATCACCTCTGCCTCCACACACCCACTCTACAGAAACGGGGGTGTCCCTGGTTCTCCCACCTCCACCTACTCCAGTAACCTCTTCTCCTGGCCCTATGCTGTCGCCCGACAGACAAGTGCTGCTTCTTTCGAGGCTATTCAGGCTGATGTTGAGAGTCAGATGGCAGTTAATCAAGCTTTTCCATCGTGCACACCAGGGGAAGACAGCTACATGACCATGCACTCGGCTGCCAACAACCTCAAGAACGTTAATGAGCAGAATACTCAGGGGCAGCCTCGTTATGCCATCGACATCCATGGCAACCGGTACATTGAATGTTAATTATGAGACAGTAAAATAATGAGTGCCTCTTGTGATCGACAAACTGAGTGTGTGTTCAATAACAAATATTTGTGTGAGCAACTTTTTGCAAATTCGAATCAATATTTACAGTCATACACATGACATTATAGCTAACGAGGAAAATTGTGTTCTTGACAGAATATTTACAACCGTTCACATGTTGAATAACAACGAAGCGTTACATGCAAGCATAAAAATGATTTGCGAACAAAAATAAACAATTAAGATGAAGTTCAAGCCACACAAGTGCGTTTGGCCGCAAGAGAGTAATACGGCGGCCACTAATTGACAGGGAATCCTCTGGTTTACCCATTGAAGAGTGCCCAATTAGCGTGTGTGTGTTAGGAATCTCCTGGCCAGAAGCCGCACATGATATCAAACAGGTTGTGGGATTAGAGCTGTTTCGGAGCTCATATCCTGAGGTTTAGTGAGTAAATATCTGGTCAATTGTGGAGGTGAAGTGGAGTAAATGTCAGTTGAATGGTGAAAGGTAAGAGTTCCTGTCTAGACAGACGGTCTTGTGAGAAAGTAGGTCTATTTTTGCTGGAGGACTGCTCTCTCCAGCTCATCCAGGTCCACCTCGATGCAGGTGTGACACTGCTCCTGGAGGTCCCCTCTGGGAGGCAGGGGTGGACCTGACAGGTCTTCGCAGTAGGCAGCTCCACTGTCTCTGGAACTAGCTCCAGATGAACTGGCTGCTCTTGCACTGGCCCGGGATGGTCTTTGGAACTGGGGAGTGGCGGGCATACCAAGCTCAGTGTATTCATTCTCTCTTCTCTCCTCCTGTCCACTTAGACTGGGACCACTTGTAGTGCTGTCGTTTACTCCACTTGTGGTGTTGCTGCTTGCTGCACTTGTTGTGTTATTGTTGTTTGTTGTTATCCTGATGTTGTTTGCTGCACTTCTGGTGTTGTTGTTTACTGCAATCCCAGTGCTGTTAGTATTTCTGCTGGTAGGAGCTCCGGAGCTGTTGTCACTCAATGTTCTTGAGGCACTGCTGGATGCAGGAGTCGTGCGAACGGGAGTGAGTTCAGCGTAGTTTGGCTCAGGCTCAGGCTGAACCGGCAAGGATATCTGAATGTCTGACCTCCTCCTTCTCTTGTGCTTGCGTTTGCGGCGACATCGACTGGTCCCTCGGGAAATGGTGACTGCACACATTGTTCCAAACACACAGCCCACCACAAAACAGACGCCGGCTGCAGCAGCCATCAGCGGGACTCGCTGCACCAGTCTCTCCGTCACTACAGGAAGATGAGTGCAATAGGGGCGGATGAATGAGATAATGACCTAGGAGTCAGTGTCCTAATTGAGTTACCCTGCCCACCTCTAGTGGTAAAGTGCCTCTAGCATTCGACCGGACGAACATTGCTACTAGGGCTGCTACAGTCTGGTCCACTAACAGAGTTAATGAAAATGAGGATAATCAAATTTCCGGTGGATCTAATTGTAGTGTGGTAAAAGCAGAGATTATTTCCCAGACTTGTTTTTCCTCATTCTCTCAGACTGGAGAGTGTCAGTTAGTGCAGCAATTACATATCATTACCCTGTCCTAACCACAGAGTAACAGTACGGTGCAGCCACAACACTCTCACTATAATCCACAATTATTGTAGATATGCTTTGTTAGTGATTATTTTATTACCGTCCCTCATGTTGTTACACCAGACATTGCACACACAGTTTAGCTATAATAATAATACAATTATGTTCGTTCCCCCAACGCTTGTTAATACTGAATAGGAAACAGAAGTTGTATAGCTACCAAACACGTAAAATATAAAGCCCAGTAGTATCAAATCTCACCCCGCACTGTGGTCTTGTCAGTCTCTGACGATTTGTCGTCGATATTGATCGGAGGCTTTCTGCTGGGTGGAGGTGAAGAGGGGGGAGACAGAGAGGGAGATGGGGAGAGTAACGATGAGCTCGGGGAAGGTGGGAGAGTGGATGGTGCCTCTGCAGATTCAACACGACTCAGTTCCCTCACTGCAGATATGACAACAGTTTACATAATCATTTACCTCTATGAATGCGATTGCATGCACAATGCATGTGAAGCACATGGCAGTGTGCGTGCAGTGAAGAGAGACTCACCGATAATCAGAGCAGGCTGGCTCATTGACACGTTCTGGCCCTCACAGTTGTGGGCCACATGACATGCTATGGTGCTACCATTGAAACTCATATCAACTTCCTTTATGAACAGGGTCCCTCCACACAGCCCAGAAGTGCAGTCGCTCCACGAGACATAGCTGTCGTCAGGATGATTAGTGCTGAAAGGATAAGATTCGTTGATGAACCATTCGTCGATAGGTTGCTCGGTGAGGACGCAGAAGAAACTGACGCTCTCTCCATCGTTGACCTCTACATTCTCTGGTCCCTTCACGAACTCTGCAACGTATACACAAGTAGTAATGATTTATTTACTGGTTAACGACAGTGATAGTTAAAATCTTTGCTTGCGAAAGTTGGTATAACAGTGCGAGAAGAGACGGCGGGGTGTAGCTAGCTCACCTGGTGCAGTGCAGCCGTGGGAGTGGGCGTAGAGGCTGCACGAGCTCAGCAAGAGCAGCGGTAGAACGGAGAGCCAGCTATGTCTTGCATCCATGACGCCGCGAGCTAGAGATGCTGGATGCTGTGCAGCAAGCGATAGAAGAGTGAACTACAAGGGATGTGGCGAGAAAGCGACATTGTATAATTATACTAGGTAGGTGTGGGCGCGCCGCGCGCATTGTTATGCGGCTTCATTTGGCATGCTTCGGGATGCAATCATGTCCGCTGTCGTGCTCGAGGTTTATAACATAGTGTATTGTCGGGAATTAGTGGACTTTGCTGCTGTGCAACCTGCAAGAGAGTGAAAAGTAAATGCGTGCAATGGCCGAATTCACTTCACGCTCCAGTACGTTTTGGCTGTTGCTGATGATTGCAGTCGCACTATCTGCTGCAGCCCGCGCCCTCGGTAAGTTAACAAATTACGTATACTTTCTGCATTTGGCATCATCTAAGAGCATACTTTTTCATTCTCTAGAGTTCATGGTTGAGCCAACAGACCAAACGGTGGCTCCCAATTCGCTCGCTCGTTTCGAATGCGTCGTTAGCGGCAATAACTTCTTCATCCAGTGGGTGCTGGACAATGAGTCGTATACAAAGATGCGTCCTCCTCCGGAGGAGTACTACAGTGCAACATGGTCTACCAACAACAGTGGAGCAGTACTTGAGGTGAAAGCACAGCACAAAATAAATGGAACCTCCATCATGTGCAGAGCAGTCCAGGCAGATCATTATAAAGGAAGTAAAATTGCTCATCTGAACCTTGCAGGTGTGTATATTAATGCAAGTAAAAATCATGATGGTTTCTTAATGTCTATGTAACCTGCAGGACCTCCACTGAGACCTGGTAACCTGAAAGTGACCTATGACAAACTCAGAAATTCCGTAGAGTTGAAGTGGAGCGAACCATTCACCCACCTCCCTCAGTTCCCCATCTTTGGCTACAGGGCCCACATGGAGCTCTTCAAAATGGAGGACCAAAGCATCTTCAAGAGAAGAACAGTGGACATTAATGATACAGTGTCAGCCTATTCGGTTGCACTGGACGAGAGTGAGATATGCAGCAGTAGTAGAGTCTGCATAAGCCTCAAAGCTATAAACCAAATCGGATACGGTGAAGAAACAACAACTGCTTGCACTAACATTGAAAGAGGTTAGTTTCCACCGTAACACCTTTGGATGTGTTAACAAAACTCTGTACACTCTCCAGTGCACAGCCCGCTCCCCGTGAACACCACTCTGTCTCTGCACAGCGACGGCCGGACGCTTGTGTCTGTGATCTTTCAGGTACACACAATGGATTATGAAAACATCAACTTCCTTACTCACATCCCTTAGCCGAGATACTAACTCTGCAACAGCAGACAATGTGCAATGAACTCTGTGCGTTTCCTTAGGTTCCTCCGTGCTTCCCTCAAGCCATACAGTCAACAGTCTTTGTGGAAGAAGCCACCCTACCACAGGATTCTGAGCTCACTCCGGAGGCTGTGCTGCCAGAGGAAGGTTCCCACCTAATGGAGAGCTATGCGCTCACAACCTTGAAGCAGGATGTGGTCTATGCCGTTGTAGTGCAACTCAAAAGCCATATGGAGAACACAACGTCTCAGCCAGTGTATGGTAAGATGGGAAACCCAGGGTAATTTGAGGGGTGGGTTATCATTACTCGGCCATCTGGAGGAAATTAGTGTGTGGTAGGTGCTGGTTTCTATGGAGAGTGTCTTCAGCTGTAGCTACGTGAGTCCCAACTATCAAGGGTGGAGAAACATTTGCAACATGGCTTGAGCAAGTTTGGTTTTTTCATGAACATGACTCTTTGCCAGCCCTAGCAACAGAGGTACCATACAATTTCAGGAATCAGGCACCATTCAGATTGGACTGTATGCTGCTGTACTATGGGCTGTACTAAACACACACAACACTGTTCTTAAGCCACAGTGCTGCCGAGTGCACCGTGTAGCGAAACATCCTCATGTGTCTGTGGTCACACGAATGCTTGCCAGCACTGTGTGTAAGACCATGATGCTGTGTTGTTGTAAAATGTCTTGCCAATCGACAAGTTTTACGCAAGCCATTGAGGGCTCATTGAATCCGTAGAGCTTCGTTAAGGGTAGTGAATGAGTAGGGTATGCAGGATCAGGGGCATGGCTTCCTAGGAGTTACTCTGTGCACACTCTGGTCTTCCTGAAATGTTACTCTACGTGTACCCTCCCTATGCAGTTACTCTACCGGCTGAGGCAACCAGCTCCGATGATGGGGGTAAGTTCCTTCAATCATGGCATTACAGTATTGAGTATGCATATTTTAGTGGGAATCATAGTTTATGGCTGCACAAGGGCTGATTTTGAGGGCTTAAAGACAGCATGGCAGAGTTTCTCAAGCATGGCTTAATTGTGGGTCAAGACCCACCCTGGGACCCACTCTCCCCTATAATTCAGAGAATTCAGAGTAATTACTGAATTTGATAATCGCCAGCGATCAATGACCACAACCTCTCAGACAGACTACGAAATTAGTCGTCAACAAAGCCCTACCATAGAGCATTAAAACACGTAACAAATGTGGAGCAGGGTGGCCCACGTGACCTCTGGTGATAATTATCGATTTCCCTGCAGGGGGAGGGAGTGTTGCAGGTATAGTAGTGGCTGTTCTGCTGTCAGTGCTGGTGGTAGCTGCACTCGTCATCGCCATCGCCATTTTCGTCATCATGCACGGGAAGAGGAAAGGTGATTTGTCGATGCAGCTACGTCTCAGTCTCCACCATAATAATTATGTTATTTACTAACACATTTATGGAAAGCAAAGTGACAGATTAACAGATGTATAATATGATGTACACAAACAAGGTATAGGCTCGCTTCACTCACTAGTAATGGTCAAAGGCATGAGCATTTTTGATTCAATTAAGCCCTCACTCACTATAAGAATTATCCATCGTACTCTCTAGGGTATGTTAATGATACTATTTTAAAGTATAAAACTGATATAGTATGTCTTCCTCTCCACAGATACAACAGTGGTGAACCAAATGCGCCCAAACCCATTCTATGAGAACACATACTACGACTCCATCCCAGACCCAAACTCTCCGTACTCATTCCGTCCGCCATCCTATGACTCCCACATCTACCAGGACATGCCGGAGCTAGTCTGTAGACTCCAGGCCAATGGGAACCTCCCCACCCCCTCTCCCTCCCAGCCCCTGTCATCATGCGTCGTTCCAGATGGGACATCATCACTGGAAGAGATGAAGCGGGTGCAGACAGTAGTGGCAGAAGCAGTAGGGGAGAGGGAGAGGGAGAGGGAGAGCGATTACATCACAATGCACCCTGTCACTGAGCCAGTTCCAGTTCTTCAGACTGAAGTCTAGAAATGGACCCACCACATACACTCATAGTACAAATGCTACCAATCATCATCATTAATGGCTTGAACAAACTCTTGATTGGATTTTAACTTCACTAGAATTCGGTATTCAGTTTCCGCTTCGTAGTATTAACAATACACACTGATTGTATGTGCAACCATAACAATAATGATGGTTACTATAAAACAGAGGTAGGTGTGGCTGGTATTTGACGATGTCATATGAGTGTGTAACAAACCAGCAAGTTCAAAGAGGTTTATAGGTAGGACTAATATGTAATTGAGTGAAGTATTTGCACTCTCAAATAAAAAAATGAGGAAATGTTAAGGAAACGTTAAGGAAACCAGAAGTGGTATAATATAGATGATACGTAGAGATCAGAACACTATGTGGAAGAGGGAGGAGGAGGAGGAGAGGAGAGAGGACAGAAGGAGACACAGGGAGGCCAGCACTGGTTGTGTGGTGGAGCCAGTCACGTCCTCAGTGGGAGGAACTGCAGACACAGAGTTTATCTTATGACATGACTATACACACTAGAGCTAGCCCACCGAGTGGGAGCATGGCTGACATTATAGCTAGAGGCACCATCTTGAATGACACCAGCCAGTGAGTGTATATAACTCCCAGTGCAATTCGTACTATAACTTATGCCTTACCCATCAATATTTGGATATAATATAGTGAAAATGGAGGTTGAAACCTATCTGAGTCTTGTAGCATACTGCCGCACACACTTTGTGTACAGCGACATTAGACACACAGACACACATGGACAACTGGCATCTCGACAATGCTCTAGATTTAATTGTCAGATAATTGACTCTGGGTATTTATTAATCTCAGGTGGTGAAGTCAGAGAATTACAACTCTCCCAGTCAGTGCATCAACTCATAAGAATGACTTACCACAAGGCAGCATGGATGGACAGTAACAAAAAGGGGTGTTCCCTGCAATGATGCCAAAAATTGGCTCAAATTATTACCACTGGATGATATAATAGTTCACCTGCCACTTCACTACTGCTCACAACAGGAGGTGATGGGCTGGGTGTTGTGAAAACAGCAGCAGATGAAGTCATTAGCAAAGGGTAGTAGCTGCTCGATGCTGCAACAAAGTTTGAGTATGCTATATTATTATAGTACCAGTTAATAGTGCAAGGTAGTTCTTTGTATCGTACCTTCACTTGTTTTCACTATTTTCGATGTGATAATACTACTAGTAAATGTAGGAAGTGGAGAGGAAGAGAACTCTTCAACTACAAGTTCAGTAGAAGAACAATGCTGGGTTACGCTCAGAAAAGTTGGGGGATACAAGTTACCTTCAATATAGAGGGTGTTAGTATAAAATCTTGCCCCACTTTGATAGTATATAAAAAGGCAGTTAATGTGCTGATGGTGGAAGGTATGATCCACTGCCATCTCCCCAGTACACTTTTGGATGCTCCCATTGTCACAGGTAGTAACAATTGGGTCTCGAACGTACTGCATGATATGCTCGTACTGATAGAAGAAGAGCAGAAATTGTTGATCGTCGGCTCTCATTATGGAGCATTGGATAGTGCAGTTTTTGCCGGACTCCAGCGCCAAGTGGTGATCATTGGCAGTGCAGTGCTCGGACGCGGTGTTGATGCTGACTTCGTGAACAGATGGGTAGCTCCAAGAACCTGTAAATAACTTGAATACTAAACCGCACGCAAGGATTTTAGCTACGTACCAGCAGTAAAATACAGGAGGAGCCACGAGCAGGAGCTGGCACAGAACATTGCAGTCGAGGACTTCATTTCTCTTTGATTGAAGTCTAATACTCCTAGCGTTTTGGGATTATAAGAGTTTCAGCCCACGATCGATGGGAGTCATTGACGAGGTATATTATGTGCGCGCGCAGGCGGGCGGAAGTGACGATAATTGTTTCGTCACTTCCGCCCGCCTGCGCGCGCACAATAGTGAAAACGCGTATATAAAGCTCTTGCCTCGTCAACTGCTGTAAGGTAAAAGATGACTCCCTTAGCTCAACTGTTGCTCTTTGCCCTGCAACTTTTATCCCTGCTGGTACATAATGGACTCCCAGTTTCAGGTATGCTATAGTACGTAGCCAGCTTATTAGCTAACGAATGTTGATGCTATAATATACAGGGAGGATAGAGATAAGTGAATCCCCCATGTCACAAGTCGTTCCTCTTGGAAGCATCGCTAACTTTTCCTGTGCTGCATCAGGAGGCGGGTTCAATTGTGATATCGCCCATTCCAGCTACTCAGTTAAGTTCCCCAGACCTGGACATTTCAATAAGCCCAAATATGGAATAACTGTAACAATTGACAAAAAAGAAGATGGCAACTTTATGGCAAACATCACAATTGAGGGGAGACTAGATAACAACAATACCAATGTAAGCTGCCTCGTGTGGAGCGAAGACATAAGTTCCTTTCAAGCATCAGATATTGCAACACTAACTGTAATTGGTAAGCTCTGGCAGGGTAGCAAACAGCATAGTTTGATGAAATAACATTGTCCACAGGTCCACCAAGTACCCCTGTAGCTGCTCTTTTAAATATTGATATGGAAGCAAAGTATTTTTCTGCTGTTTGGGATGTTCCATTCTCCCACAAAAACTACCCAATTTCCCATTACAATGTCACTGTCTGTAACAAGAACAAAACTGTTGGATACGTGGAGTCATTCCCAGTTAGTCCAGAGACTGGACCTCCTCTTCCCACATCAGGACCAGTCACAGTGTCCCTCCCGTTCCCTCCTCGCACCACCTCCTGTGACATCCTCAACATCTCTGTCACTGCTGTCAATGATATTGGTGCCAGCCGGGCAGAATCTTTCAGAGTCCTTGTACCAAAATGTAGGTACCATTTCACATGGTCCTATAATACATTTATTTTTCCTGACACTCCATAGTACCTGATAGTGATGTGATTCTGACGACTAAGGTTCTGTTTCAGTCAGATGGAAGTCCAGTGGTGACTGTGGAAATGAAGGTTGGTCCAAAACTATAGCTTATGCTTATCAATTGAATTGCTTTTGTGCAGTTCCCAGAGTTTTGTTGGTTTGAGAGAGTAAACTACTCACTGTTACTGGAGGAGTGTGGTGGGGAGGGTCGTCAGTTGGTGCTAATGAAGGGGGCGGTTAATAATCCCCAGGAGCCAGTCGTGGAGACCATCTCTGTTGATTTGGTATCCAATGCCAACTACTCTGTTGTGGTGTCTGCACAAACTGACCTGTGGAACTCATCAACATCTCCACACACCTTCAGTAAGTGGCAATATTTTCCCTAAGCTCCATCATTACTGCGGCTTTTTTTCAATGTCTACAGGCACTCATTTTACTCTAACATCATCTTCTGTGAACGGTAAGGCTGTTGCTCACCTGTACTAGCTAGCTCTAGTAGGTTTCGAAGTAAAGTATACTTCCGATTTCCTTGTTGATCACATTATAGGACAAAAACAACCGAAAGTTAATGTGTTTATGTGCAATGCACAAATTCTTCTCTGCACGCACCAACAGTGTCCACCGTCATTCCAGCGCACCTGTTAGCAGGAGTTGTGAGCGGAGTTACAGTCTTCATCATTTTCCTGGTGGTCACTGTCATCTCTATCATACTTGTACTAAAGAGCCGAAAGAAAGGTATGACAAGTGAACTGTAGGTCAGTGGGTTAACCTACACTACTATATTATTAGTGGGTACTATAATTATTATGCTGCTGTTTTGTGCAGGTGCCCATAGCAATGTTGAAGATTTAAGAGTAAGCTCAGTAGCACACAACCTGACTCCCAACCCCATCTACGATGGCCCACTCTATGAGACTATCAGCGATGCCGCAGCTCCCAGGTCTCCGGGACTAAAACCAAAACCTCTCACTCTCCCACCACCGCCCCTGCCACCGTCATCATCATTATCCTCGGCCAGGAAAGAGCCAAAGTACACCGATAGTCCGACTGTCGGTCAGTTCAAACTGCCACGTCATGTCTCGGAGTATGAGGAGCCCAAAGGCTGTAAAAAGGAAACTGAGGAGGACTGCTATATCCAAATGCACACCAGCATCAGGCACTGACCTATTTGGTTGCTGCTCATTAGTAAACTAGTTGTGTATCAAAGGTCTGTTACTGTCATATATAGTGTCCTTGAAAGCAGTATTATACATCAATGTAAGATACCCGGCCCTGCGCGCGTCTAACCCGCGCGCGCCCACACGCATGCGCGGCGATGCGCAAAGCCCCCCCCCTAATAGGGCTTCCCAGTTCCTCACTGCGTCCAACAAACCTCCAGACGAACTGCTCAATAGGTATACCTAGTGATGAAGACTGCCAGAGGTCGGTGTGTGTCCTCTCTCCTGCTGCTACTGCAGGCCTCACTGCTGATGACGCCAGGCGGATGCTCCGCGTCCTCTCATTTCGGTAAGTATTCTTACGCATTCCTCTAGCTACAGTGGAATGAAAAATATACCTCTTTAGAGATACTTCGCCAGCCCGTCTCCCAAGTGGTCAAAATGGGAGATACTGCAACTTTCCACTGCTCTGCAAGTGCAGTTGGAGTCACAGGCTCCTTTGATCTGGTCCTCACCACTTCATTCCGAACCCCAGTTTACATCAACAATAACATTCAGCTTGAGTGGATAACTGCAACTATAAATTCTGATTACAATGATCCAACATTGACCTATATAGCCAGTGTGACTGTCAATGGGAGCGAGATGACCAACGGGACATCGCTACGCTGCAGAATGTTCTCATTTGGGGATATGAATGATGCATTATTCAGCAATGCTGCTGAGCTGACTGTCATTGGTAAGACAAAAATCCAGCTGGGATGCAATGTGCTTGTTGTCAGAACAAACAATTTGCAAATAGTATAAAAACAAGTTAGTATGTAGTAGAAGACTTGGAGTAAGTTGCCTTTTAAACAGGTGACTTCAGGTATGAGATAACATTTTACAGTAGTACTCTGTACTGGGGTATTCCAATAAGTCCAGCTTAACAATTGCAATACTCTGTGTTCCCAGGGCCACCAGACACCCCCGCAGGTCTCTCCCTGCCGGAAGATCACGTTAACATGGAACTGGGCCAGTTTTCAGTTGAATGGAATGTTCCGTTCTCACACACCAACCATTCCATATCGCACTACACTGTCACGGTCAACAGCCCCAATGAGACAGTGGGATACATGGAGTCATTCCGAGTTAGTTCAGAGACTGGACCTCCTATTCCCACATCAGGACCAGTCACAGTGTCCCTCTTGTTCCCTCCTCGCACCACCTCCTGTGACATCCTCAACATCTCTGTCACTGCTGTCAATGATATTGGTGCCAGCCGGGCGGCATCTGCAGTCATATTCATACCAAAAGGTGACTTTACTACAGGGTACAAACCCAGTGTAAATTTTACACATCCTATTCACTACAACAGTGCCAGATGTCGCTGTGACTGCCACGGTTACCACGCACTCCGGCCCTGGTAACAGAGCCATCATCTTGACAGAAATCAAGGTCTGTATATAGCTTTTTCTTTCAACTTTGTAAGTTAATGTTCATTTTCACTGCAGTTCCCGATATTTTGTTGGTTTGAGAGAGTCAGCTACACCATTTTTTTATACGAGGATCGTGGTGGTGAGGGTCACCAGTTGGTGCTAATGAAGGGGGCGGTTAATAATCCCCAGGAGCCAGTCGTGGAGACCATCTCTGTTGATTTGGTATCCAATGCCAACTACTCTGTTGTGGTGTCGGCACAAACTGACCTGTGGAACTCATCAACATCCCCACACACCTTCAGTGAGTATGGAATGTAACAATGAGTATTTGCTGATGCAGCCTCCGGTAGCATAGTACGACGCACATCATATCAGCTTTGTTTTGTATTGTACTGCTATGTACAATTTCACTGCTGATGTGACGTTTTCCCTCCACTAGCCACCTACGCAACAGATGCCCCAACAACCCTTGCAACAGATAGTAAAGACAACATTGTGTAGAAATGCTAGCACTTTACATTCTTTTGCTTTTTTCTATGCAGCCAAATCAGCAGACACCCCTTCAGTTGAAGGAAGTAAGTATACTACTGCACTTGAGAGGAAATGTCTGCTTCCGTTTCACAATGCCTAGCCGTAGTGCATTCTGCGAGCATTTCTGAGAAACAACACTATCAGTTAACAAGTGTTATCGGGTACTGACCCATGTACTCAAAATGGAAGTGTAGAGTGTATAAGGGAACAGTTGTCATGCTACCAGGATGCAGTCACACACACAAACACACTCACCTGCACACACACACATCCATAGAGGTAGACAGTACTATTTGATGTTGGAGTAGAAGATGTGTACTACATTCATTGTCTTTGATCTACCCTCCACTGGCTCTCTGCAGTATCCAGTGACTCTGAGGATGGCGAGGTCTCTTTTCTGGTGGTGGGAATTGCATCAGGGAGTGTTGTCTGTCTTCTGATTCTTATAGTTTCCACTCTCGCTGTCATCTGTGCCCTACGCTCTCGAAACAAGAGACCAAGTAAGGAAATGGTAGAGGCAAATAACTCTATTAGTTTGATTACAGGACTTTGAGACGTAGCTGTTGTTGTCTCAGTTTAGCACTCAGCTCCAAATGTCTAGTCTCTGTTGGAGAGAGGATAAGGAGAGGGGAAAAGAGAGAGGGGGCCAACACACTTTAGTTTACTCCATGCTTAGTCGTATTATGGGACTTTATTTTGGTCTCAGCGTAGTACACAGTTCCAATGCATCTGGGTGAGTGGGGAATCCTCCTTTCAAGTACATAAAAGTGCATTCTCAACACGAGTAAACTACAACTTCCCGTGTGTCCCCAGATCTTCCAATAACACTTGAAGACATGAAGCTCTCCCGTGCTCCGCTTGAGCTGACCCCCAACCCCATCTATGGAGGTCCACTCTATGAGACAGTGGGAGACGCAGTCCCACAGTCTCAGGACATCAAGCCGGAGCTATACCCTCTCCCTCTCACCTCCACCATTGCCCTCTCGGTGTACACTGAGAGCCCGATGCTGAGCAAACACAGGCAGATCAATGGACACGAGGAGGAGACCTATGTCCAGATGGACTCCTGCAACAGGAAATAGTGTGTTTTGTACTTCGTTTTTTTCCTCCCTTTTTGTGTGAATAACAAAGTGTGTAATTTGTTCTGTTGTGTGTGTGTGTGGAATGTCATGATGTTTCCGTGCAGGTAAAGGAATAACGTTTCATAACACAGGCTAGTGACGAAATACAGAGATGGTTTAGTGAGAATTACACATTCATGGGTCTAATGTGTATATAGCAAACATGTTGACAGAAGAGGCCAGTGCTCCATCCATTGTCAGTGACTCCCCTGTCATTACCTGACCGGGAAACCAACTGCACCACTAGCTGGAGAAGAAGCCTAATGTGCTGCTGTGTCTAGCTCTACACTTTGCAAAAGATTATAGTTCTATAATTGAGCTGTAGTACATCCTTTTAATACATATCACTAGCACTGTTCACTGAAATGTTGGTCGATGGGTGAGAAAATAGAATGTCTCTGGCAAACAAGTTAGGCTGTGGCTTATATACAGCATCACGTGAAATCATTATATAGAATTTAAAGCAACAAACATCACAACAACACACAAGTGAAACCTATAGCAAATAATGTTTTCATAACACGAAAACGAATATAAGTAGAAGCATGAGCATGATTGTGTTGTTTAACTTGCACGAAGAAAAGATGAACGTCTCAGCAGTACCATTAATGTTACTCATATTCACCATGGTTGAATCAGGTATAGAAAAATATACTAAGATACATAGCTAGCAGTAGGAAATCTCTGATTGCAGTGCGCATTATCGAGCATCCTGAGACTAAGAGAGTGCCGGAGGGTGGCACTGTCACCTTCGAATGCAGCGGAGAAGGGGAAATGGGCTGGTACGTGGACGACCAGTTTGTGTGGGGAGTTTACAGGACCCAGCTGCAACAAGATGGCTTCTCATTTCGCTCGAGTCACTATCCCACCTACTCTGACCTGACAATGACCGCCCCTGCTAAGATATCCCGAAATGGAACAAAGATAAAATGTGAAGCATACAGCACTAGTGAAGTGGCATTCAGCAATACTTCATGGCTGTGGATAATAGGTAAGATGCAAGTCAAATCTTTCCAATATTAATTCAATGACATGACCTAAGGACCTCCACTGCCTCCCAATGTGACCGTGGAGCTGAGCAGCTGGAACACCATGAGACTGTCATGGAATGCTCCTTTCACCGCTGAGGGGTTCCCCATTGACAAGTACATTGTCTTCACAACCAACAGCTCCACAGACGAGAGGACACGGACTGAGTTTGACCCCACAGATGGCAATGAGTCTCTCACCATTGTCGACACTCCATGCCTCTGCCACTCCCTCTTGTTTGAGGTGATTGCAGAGAGCTCTGCTGGGACCAGCTCTGCCACCGAGGTATCTGGAGCCTTCCCTGTCGGTAAGCTATAATACTGGTGCAAAATTTCCAATCTTTGATATTTTGTGCTCTGCAGCTGTGACTGGTTTCCATGTGGAGATATCTGTGACATTAACCGTACCAGAGCTTATCCCTGAAGCTAAAATTTCATTTCAAGTAAAGTTCAGTATTACACTAAAAGCAATAGTGATCAATGTTGTACTCCAGCCTCCTCAAGTGTGTGCCGAAGGCTCTGGAGTTGCAGCAACTTACACACTTGAGCTGAGGACAGTGTCTGGTGTGTTGGTCCACAGAACAGTAGCAGAGTATCACGAGAGCATTCTCATTGAGGAGACACAGACTGTCCCCTCCTGCTCCTCTTACACTCTCAACGTCACTGTCTCCGTCCCCTCCTTCCCCCTCCTGGGCACCCACTCCAACATCACCATCTTTGATGTACCAGTTGGATGTCCAACTAGCAGTACTTCTGCAGGTAAGTTGAAAAACAGTTCTTATAAAGCTTTGGTGATCTGCTCATTTCCCTCCTTGTCAGTTGTCTCCACACCAACCAGTGGGCCACCTACAGTTGGGAATCTAAAGACAGGTAAAAGTAGGTTCTACAATATCTTTTATTAGGAAAACCTTTGATAGGAGGTAGTAGTACACCGATCATTGTGCTGGGGGTAGTGGCTGCTGTTCTGATGCTGCTGGTGGGGGCTGGTGCGGGTGGTGTTGTTGCAGTGTTTGTACTGCGGCGAAGACGAATAACAGGTTAGTAATGAAAACAGTCAGTGGTGTTACGTAACAACAGAGGACACAAGTTAATTATCCTGGTACTTTCAGTATGCATCAGCACTTTGCGCAATTCTTTGCAGCTGAAAGACAAACTATCCACAGAGCTTTGCCCCCCATGTCTCCAAACCCTATCTACGAATCTTCCACACCCCTCTATGACGTCATCCCTGACAACCTCGCCTGTAAGCTCCAGGCTGATAAAGTTATGGCGAAGCCAATTCTCCCTGAGGATAGTACCAGGTAAACGAAAGTCACTCTCACACGTTGTTCTAAGGCAAGATCGAAGTATTATGGTTGTATAAAGAGGCATTTGTTGAACTATAATGCTGTAATGATGTAGCTATTGACTTGCCTACTCTGTCATGCAGGTATGCCACGACTCCATTGACTGTGGCTCAACTACTGGACAGAGAAGACTCTGGCATCAGTGAGCCTCTCTCCAAAAGGCAGTGGGAGGAGGAGAGGACAGGAGGTGGAGGAGAGACAGAGAGGGAAGACTGCTACATCCCCATGCAGTCATGTGCAGAGAAATGAGCTCAGAGACAAGACGAATTTGAATAGAGACATAAGTAGCTACAGTACTCATGAACAATTCCAGGAATATCATTGCATGTGTTCACACCTTTCAGTTTTCTGCACCAATTTGAACAACTTTAGCGTGAAACTATTCATCACACATTTTGTTATGAATCATGGATCAGTTGTAGTTTTGTATAAAACAGTTAGTCAAATAGACTAGTCTCTTGTGTGAGAAATGTGTGTGCACGTGATTCAACAGCACGGGAGATGTATACTCCTTTTCTGTTTATCTCTCTCTGTATTGTCTAGCAAGATTTTAATGTGGAAGGAAGTTCACTGAATATCTGATCACAATCATGCACATTATAATATTCCTAAATCCTTTACCAGAGGTTTAAGGTCGGTTGCTAAGAATTTACGGACATTAATGACAGCTCTAGGATGTGTGTGTGTGTGTGCGTGTCACAGTGTGTGTGTGTGTGTGTGTGTGTGTGTGTGTGTTTCTGTGTGTGTGTGGTGTGTGTGTGTGTGTGTGTGTGTGCAAGTGTCTGTTTTCTAGTGTGTGTGTGTGTGTGTGTGTGTGTGTGTTTCTGTGTGTGTGTGTGTGTGTGTGTGTGTGTGTGTGTGTCACGGTGTGTTCATGGGTATGGGGGGTATGAAAATATGACGTTTGAAATGCCTGGCACTCTTATTTACCCAAACAAATAGTTCCTCTGAATTTATGGAACAATAAGAGATTCTCCCTCTTCCTTATTCCTTGTGACTAAGTTTCATCTTCTATTGACTAGTCCATGGAGTACAAAAGCCTGATATTCCGTCCGCACCTGCTCAGCTCTCCTTCAGATCTCTATAGTACGGTGCGTGTCTGTCAGCATGGAGATGAGAATGAAGGAGCAAATAATACTGACTCTAGCTGTCCTGATTGTCATCTCTGTCACTGGAGGACTCAGCTACCCTGGAGGTATTTACTAAGACCAAGAGCCCTAGCAGATTTACTATATCTTCTTCCAGTGATCCTCCGTCATCCAGAGACCCAGACCACTCCAGCTGGTGGCAGTAAGACTTTTGTCTGCACAGCTCAGGGAGATGTCCTGTGGTACATCGACGATCGCTGGCTCTCCAGCAGCTACCGGTCAACTCTGGGAGTAAAAGGCTTCACTTTTCAGGAACGTCATCTGTCTGGGTATCAGTACCCCACCACCAACCTCACGATGACGGTGCCAGCCAGAGATGATGTCAATGGCACTGAGATTCACTGCAGAACTGCAGGCAGCGATGGGAACATTATCTACAGCAACTATGCCTGGCTGTGGATTGTGGGTATGTCGGTTTCTATACTATCACTGTTACCCACCATAGCAATTAGTGGAGTAATTGTCATTGTTCTTCAGGACCTCCACTGCCTCCCAATGTGACTGTGGAGCTGAGCAGCTGGAACACCATGAGACTGTCATGGAATGCTCCTTTCACTGCTGAGGGGTTCCCCATTGACAAGTACATTGTCTTCACAACCAACAGCTCCACAGACGAGAGGACACGGACTGAGTTTGACCCCACAGATGGCAATGAGTCTCTCACCATTGTCGACACTCCACGTCTCTGCCACTCCCTCTTGTTTGAGGTGATCGCAGAGAGCTCTGCTGGTACCAGCTCTGCCACCGAGGTATCTGGAGCCTTCCCTGTCGGTAGGATTGTCACAGTTACGTAGAACTTTGATTACATTTGCCTCACATCCCCAGCTGTCAGTGAGTTCAGTGTGAATGTGTCTGTGGTATATTTTGACACTGGTGGAGAAAGTCTTGCTCCACAAGCTACCATATCCTTTAAGGTTACCAACCATTCCACATGAAATTAAGCCCCTCTTCATTGACATTGTGATTTGTTTAGCTTCCTGAAGTGTGTGCAGCTAATTCTGGAGTTTCAGCAACCTACACACTTGAGCTGAGGACAGTGTCTGGTGTGTTGGTCCACAGAACAGGGGCAGAGTATCACGAGAGCATTCTCATTGAGGAGACCCAAATTGTCCCCTCCTGCTCCTCTTACACTCTCAACGTCACTGTCTCCGTCTCCTCCTTCCCCCTCCTGGGCACCCACTCCAACATCACCATCTTTGATGTACCAATTGGATGTCCAACTACTGAAAGTAAGAGTGCACCTAGTGTTCCTGTAACTGATGATAGTAAGTATGAAAAGCTGTTATAGTGCTAGTGTGCAGCACTTTTTCTCTTACATTTGATACAAGTGCAGTTGATGCAGTACAGAACAGCACTGGTATGAATTGCACTAACTCGTCTGTAATTTTCAATGGTGTAAAGGGTCAGAGGGGAGTGGAGTGTTGATACCAGTCCTACTGGGGGCAGTTGCTCTGGTTGTTGTCCTACTGACACTGCTCATTGGAGCTGGGCTGGCTGTGGTCTGCCTCCAGCTGAGGAGAAGGAAAACAGGTAAAAGTTGTATGCTCAACATTATGCATACATTCACAGCAGGTCTTGAAATGATAGTATATCCTGGCTGGAAGTGACAGCTAACCATTATGTCATTATCTATGCAGTAAACATGAGGAACTCAACCTGTCCTAGAGTGCCACTAATGACTGATAACCCCATATACGATGACAACCATCACTATGACGTAATCCCTGAGTCCTGTGGCTCCAAGCCACACTCTCAGAGACCCAAGAAACGAGTTTCCTCTGACTTCAGGTGGAGCCTCTTTGCACACCCACTCACAACCTTCTTGTAGCACAAACACTCTTGAAATGTCAGTGTAAACAACTGCCCTCTTCAATAATTTTCTTCCTGCCTCCATTCGGCACTCTGGGATTATTAGTTGCTCATTTTTACCATTTCCCCCAGGTACAGTGCAACTCCCACATCTCTTTCTGTGAACAAAGAGTCGCGTCAACATCCATTGTCCTTGAACCAGAACTCTTTGTCCACTGAGACCCCCAGTCCGAGTGAAGTTGATGCAATATTGCGCAACACGTTTGCCGGTTCTCTGTCTCCACCCAGCCAGCAGTGTGTTAATGGGGGAGGCGCAGAGGGAGAGGTGTATGATACTCTAAGCGAAAAGCCACCTCCAGTTGGAGGGGAAGGGAGAGTAATGGAATCAGAGAAAGAAGACTGCTATGTACTCATGAACTCGAGTGCAGTGTGAAAAACAAACCTCAGACTATCCATGTAGCTACGGACTGTAGCTTCCCTAATGTGTGTGTATAATGGGAAACGTAGTTGTATAAAGACACAATATCAATGTCTTGACAAATCCCATGATATTTTAGCATCCCTTGTATGATGTAATGAATCATTATTTTTCAATGTCATCATAGGGTATGCCCCTTGTTTATTCATAGAGAGTATATACCTACTGACCCACCCACATCTAGAGCACATATGTGCACAAGAAGATAGAATTAGCTTTTAGATGAGATCCCATTATTTTAAAGATGACAAGTGTGACTGTTAATAAATGCACAAAAGTGAGTTCCACAACTCCAAGAAAAACCTCTGCTTGCCTCACTCAGACTGTGGAAGGTAAGGATCCACTGCACAAACAAGAATGGAATGTTTGATAAAATAATTATTATTCATCGCTAGTGGGATGTGAGGGAGTTTTTTGTGGAGTTGTTTGAGTGCAGTCATGAGTGTGGTCCCAGTGAACTATTTATTTTATAGCTGGGTAGAGTTCACTGGAACCAGCTGAACAGACAGACTGTCGCTGTACACAGCAGGGTTTGCACAAGAGTTCATTGATGTTTGTTCTACAGTTATGCTAGAAAGATGTATTCATTGCTGGGGTCTCAGCTGGGACTTTGTTCTCTTCCATGATGTAACCAGGCAGTAGTATCAGCCACCAGACAGTAGTATCAGCCGCCACAATGAACAGGACACACACACAATGCATCCACCGTACAAACACAATTCTGCACGTAGACTAAGTATTGTGCTTGCATTGAGCTGCTTCAGCCCTAAGGTATCAGGTTCATCTCTATCTAGAGAGCAGAGGGTAGTAACAAGGGAAGCTCACTTTATTTGAAGTCATTGCCTTAATTCACAACTTTAAAAGCGTTTAGTAAAAGTAATCATGGTATTATGGTAGTACACAAGACAGATTGTCACAATAGGCGTATTGTTGCATACATACAATCAACATGGCATGGCAGATGTGTGATATAAAAATGATGCACCAACAAGTTTATAAAATTAAATATGTGCAGAGTAAAATCAGAGGTATTGTAGCTTGAAGTGGCTGTAGACCCAGTACACTGCCGGCTACCACATCTGTAGCTATTTTATGAAAGTTAAAGTCAACCTGAGTACGAGAGAGTTCGTAGTTACCTGTAGTGTCAGTAGTGGGATTGGAAGTCGGAGCTAAAGTGGCTGTGGGGCACCTCATAACTGCAAACAAGTTACACCATTTGAATATTAATCTCATTAAAAACATAGCACATGTTAACCTTTAGCAGTAGTTGATGAAGGTGAAGGGTAGGGTAGGCTTGAAGTGGATGTAGGGAGCACTTCAACATTTGTAGTACCTACAATTTCACGTTGATTATGCAGTTAGCTACAGAGAATGCACAAGTTACTTACCAATGCTGGCACTTGTCAAGCAGTCATTTCCTATGTCCTTAACTTTAGATTTCAAAAAGGTAAAATTAATGTCACATAGTGTGATTTATTGGTCTGTTGTACCTATCATGTAGCCTCCTCTGCTGTAGTATTTCATGGGGTGTGGGTCACGGTCGTAACTGAGACACTGGTAGCTCTTCCCATGCATGCTGGCTGTTACTGTTATATTCAATAATTTGGTGCAATTTGTTCCATTTGCATCTGCACTGCAATCCTCTGGGTAATATCCATTAGAGACGTTGCCAGAGACTGGTATTCCCAACTTGTACATCTTATCTATTGTGTTTGGTTGTCCAATCTCAAGAATCTCAATAATGTGATTAGCAGGGCCCCAGCAGCTAAAGCTGAGCCTCTGTTCAAGGTAGACTTCATTGGTGCCAGGATGGCTGAAAGTTACCTGGGTGGCTGCATGCCAAAATTTAGCATTTCTGCGTTAGACACTAGCTATGCGCATGAAACAAACCTGCAATTGTTGGGATCAAAAGGATGACAAAGACAGCTTGCTCCATTCTAGATATAATCGTCGTGTTGTAAGCTCACTCGTAGATGCCGCCTAGATTTATAGGGCGGGATAACACACAGCAGCAACCGCATCACGCAATGCGCTAGGTTAACGCACGCACGCATGCGCACTGAGATCTCGGCTTTGTGTCGTCCACCCCGCTGTGCATGTGAGGGGTAGCTAGCGATGAAAGTTTCGGCAGTTCTGCTTCTATGCTTCTGTTCAGGTAACAATCATTGTACGTTTTAGAGCTAACTACAGCTTTTAGGGCAATTTTTTGCAGGGATAACAACTTGTTCACTGCAAACAGATGTGACTCTGGGTGATAGAGCTGAACTAATTTGCAATCATAATATAATTACAAACTTGGATATTATTTGGGTGATTACTGGTAGCAGAGATGGAGAGGGATCAAAGGCCATACACCCACTGGATGGCAACCCAGTCCCTCCAGTGCTGCAACAAAGAGGTTTTGAATCAGAGCACCAAGTGTTGGATGGGGGGGTCCTCACCCTATCACTGAAAGTGCTTGGGTCAGAGGAGAATAATCAGACTGAAATCAGCTGCAAACTGGTGGATGAAACTGAATCGATTGAGACCTTTGTACTTTATGTTATCGGTAAAACTTTGAACAATTCACAATACATGATTACTGCTTTCTTCTTTCAGGACCTCCGGAGAGGCCAGGGGAGGTGAGGGGGTGGGTGGTGGAGTTCTCTCCACTGAGACTGAGACTGGAGTGGGAGGAGCCATTCTCCCACACTGACCACCCGGTACTCCACTACACTCTCTACACCAGGGATGGAGGAGCCACAGCCAATACCACTGACAACAACATCACTCTCAGTCTGGAAGAAAATGTTGATAACTGCAGTCATATAGGTATTGGAGTAGCAGCAGTCAGTGACATTGGGGAGAGTGAACCATCTCCAGTAGAGTCCATGCAAAGAGGTTACTGCTCTTTCCATTATGTTGTTGGTGTGAAAACTTTCCTTTTTTGGTAAGATGTGACGGACAAACAGTTCTCTATTGACGGAAACCTTCTCTCCCAAAACAAAGTTATTGTACTCAAGCTCAAATTAAAAGTAAACGAGCCACTGTGTACAATAACTTAACCAGGCTTAGTGTTTTAGAATTAGCGTGTTGTTGTTCAGTTCCCGCAGCTGTGTGAGGGCCAGGAGATGAGGTACAGAGTAGAGGTGGAGGAAGAGAGGACAGGGAGACTGGTCTACCAGGACACCAGAGTCTCAGAGTACAGAGGAGGAGATGTGGACTACAGCAACACTACCTCTTCTCTCCTGGACCATGGCTACTACACTGCTCTCGTCTTTCTCCACACTGGGGGACAGAGTACATCCTCTTTCCCCCTGAGACTACCACTATTTCAAAAGGGTAAGATCGGTCTATATAGTACCCCTGTGAATGTTATGTCATCCTCATCACACATTATGTGACATTAAAGACGAACCTGGCAGAAACTCAGACACAGGTGACAGCACTGATGTATATTCACAGACTTTGACAGTTTCCCCACCTTCTCTAGTTTTGATGCTAACAATTATCGGAGTGCTGGCTGCAGTGTTGCTGTGTCTTTTGATGGTGGTAGTGGTGTACCTCAGAAACAGGTTTTCAACCAGTATTAGTAAGTTTACAAACCAATCTAAAAAGTTAATAGCTAAATTATAACTAACTCTCAGTACCCCAAGAACCCAAGGAGAACAGGAACCCTATATATGAGGGACCACTGTATGAGAACATGGAGGAGAGTCCAGGGACCTCCCTCCCTCCTCCTCCTCCCTCTGCCAGGAGGAGAGGGAGTGTCTCTCGGAGTGTGGACAATGTCTACCACAGCTCCCCTGTCCCCATCCCCACTGGCCCCGAGACTGAGGGACTGCATGCTGAGCTCCTGGCTGCCAAGAAACAAGAGTCCCAGACCAGGGCCCCGGGAGATGGGGAGGAGGAGACATACACCATCATGAGACCTGCTGGACTCAACTCTGGTGACAGACACACTCCCTACCTGGAGGAACGTGCTGCCTGGATCACTGACAGAAAATAACACTCTGAGAATTGTGTCAAGTGGCTGTTGTGACAATGCAACTGTTGTGTTACGCATTAAGAAACAGTATTTAACCCATGGTGTGCATTATCAGATTGCAGTACTGGTCAAATTGGATTCTTAAGATTTAAGCGTTATTTTGTGGATACACAGATTTATTTTCTGTGAAAACTCGCATATGACAGCATAATTCAAGAATTTCTCATTCTCATGGACCACTTAGCTACATACTAGCTTACACAATGCAGCTATCTACATAAGTGGCTTAATATGCAAGATGTGTGGCGAAATGAACCGCACAACTCTTTTCTTGTGCCATATATATTAATATTGAGGTTCTGGAGAGTATCTCCACAGAGGCAGCCTTCATTTGGGTCTGCCCAGCTGGTCAGTATGTATCCTTCAATAGGCAGGTTACCATTGCATTTCTCCGGGACATCAGCATAGGGAAACTGGGTCCCAGGAGAGATGGGATGGAGAGGAGATGTATGCCCTAGTCATATGCAGTCCATTGCACTGTACAGACGTCCGTCTCAGGTGTATAATTGGATTGGTGTATGTTAGTCTGGGAAAAGCCCTGTTTTGAGAGAGACTCACATGCGGTATAATAGAGTGTGTAGACCTCAGTCACACGTGTTGTAACAGAGTTCCAGAGAATTAGTATTTGTCTGTGGGTACAAATGTTTATTTTTCGACAAATAAGGTATAACAAGTTAATTATTCATTAACGGTGCTTTCAAGGCAACTTTGTGATTATCATTTCGCTTACTTTTAATCAACACATCCAGCCAGTAAGACTCCAAAAAAACAACTTAGGTAGTGGTAAGCTATACTCACATTGTCATATTCATCTATGGAGGACACTCTGGTGCCTTTGATGCAGCATTCCAATGATGTCATTGAAATATTGAGTGAGTCACAATAATAGACAGCCATACATCCTATAATGAGCTCTCTGCCAAACTGTCACGAAACACTACTAGGTGTGGTGTGATGTTATAATCAGAGATAGTATTCATTGTGCTGCCTCTGTAGTAGGCAAGGTTCAATGGTACAACAATAATGGCTCACAAATCCGGACTATTGTATTAGCTACAGCATTCTTGCTTTTAAATTTAGCCTTGCATCATAGTGGTGCTATAGAAAAACTTAAAATTAGCCAATTAATTGTGTTTCTATATAAGCGATGCTAGTAGAGTTTTGTGTTATATAGGTGTGGATTGGTTGGATTCAAACCCAGTAAACAGCCTCTCAGGCTCGAGCCAGGCTGGCCACCACAGGGAATTGCAGCAGTGTATTCATGTGTATTGCATAGAGCCAGTGGCATTTCAGACAAGATAATATTCATATCTGGTGGACCCACAGAGTGACTGTAATGTTCTATCCCGCGTGTGTGATGGACATATTCGTAGGTGAAGATTGAAAGCGGCCATCACATGTTCTCTCCAGATGCTCCCTGCCGGCATAAATCACCTTATGCAGCTGATGCGCCGCTGGGGACCTCACGCATGAAAAGCTGAGGCAACTGTGTCTCAGTTTGTATGCTCACAAGTGGAAACAAATCATTCTTCACGAAAATGAAAAGGGGATATATGGTGGCTCTGAATGACCACCAAAATAGGAACAAAGCAAGGGGTCATTCATTACACAGCAAAGTTGCACAAAGCTACATTGACACATCCCGATATCTTTTGTTTTATGTTATAAGCAAACTCTTTTCCTTGAGCTAATATGATATACATGCAGACACCTCTATTGCCAGAGCCCAGATCTAACAACAAAGATATAGGGATGGTGTCATGTAGCTTTGTGCCACTTTGCTGGTTGGTCAATGCTTGAATGAGCCCCTGGTTGTTGTACGTTGGTTAGTGTTACGGGGTCTTTTTTGTTTGCTTCAATGCCATCCCATATATCCCCCTTTTCTATTTCTTTTTATTTTTTGTTTGAAGATGCCATGATGAATTTTTCCACTTGTTTTCTGTGCTCGACATTTTTAAACTGCTTTCGAGAGGGAAAAAGTATATCCAGGGGGGCCTTGTGTCTCACTT